AGAAGGAAAGAGAGAGAATCCCAAGCAGGTTCAATGCTATCAGGGCAGAGCTCCATGCTGGGCTCGAACTCACAAACTGTGAAATCATGACCTGAGCCAAAACCAGAGCCAGGTGCCTAACCAACTGAGCCATCCAGTGGCGCTTCTGTTACTCTTTTCAACAGCACCATGACATGTACTTGTATAATGGCTGAAGGCTCTAAAGGACAGACTGGTAACACTGATTATCATAAAGTAGGTGTTCAATACATTTTCTTTTTTTTGCACTGAACTGAACAGAGTGTGAGTACTCTGTTAACTGAGTCTGCAGGAGCAGACGATTATACATTTCTACTTAGCGCATGTTCTGATCATAGCATAATTCATCTTACCAAAAATTTAGGGTTTTGTTTTTTGTTTTTTTGCTTTACTGTAAGAGATGGAAGAAGTGAGTAAAGATATAGAAAGTGATTCAACTGCAGCTCAAAACTAATTATTCTAATACCTCCAGATGAGCTGGCTATAAAACAAAACAAATCTTTTCCATTTGAAATTATTATCCACATGAAGTTGAAAATTTTATCACCACAAAAAATACAAATACAAGTTGCATATTGGTACTGCCACTCTCAAACTTATCTCTCATTTGAATACACATAAAAATTTCCTTTAAAAATTTTAAAACGTTGAACTTATAAAAACACATTTGAATTATTAAAATATTACTCACCTTAATATTAAGGTTTCATATAATATTTCATTTAAAAACAATGGATAATGCTGTTAAAAATGTTAGAAAGCCATTGTTCTAGGTAGTCACATTCTCTTTATGTAGTATGCAGTAATGGCACACAACATATACTTCTCTTTTAGCTTGAATCATATTAGATTATAACTACTTTGTGACGTTTATCACCTCAATTTCTTGTAACTGCCACAAGCCAGACATGGGCATATATCCATAATGCTTAGCATATTTCAAGTATATATTTAGAGTTTACAGAGGTTTGAAAAATTTAATGAGTAAATGAATAAATAATTCACTAATGTCTAGTATGAAATTACTAGAACTCTAAATGCAATAAACATTCTATATATTCATTCAGTTAGTGATTCTAGATTTTGTTTGTATTTCTGTTACAAATGAAATATCAGTACCTAAGTCTTAAGAACTTTTAAATTGTTTTCTTCTTCTCTATCACTTTTTAATTTATCTACTTATAGGGAATGTAAAATTCATTTCCAAAAACAAACCACTGTAGATAAGAGTATTTTCCAATGTATGTCAGTACTGCATGTGTTTGATATTTCTATTAATTTGTAAGAGCTGTGTATTAGCAATATTACAGTTATATTTATTGTTTTTATGTACATTTTTCTATCCATTTTATGACTTTTGCATAAAAAGAAAGATAATAATCCCATTCATTATAGCGTCAAGAACAATGAAATACGTTGGAATAAATTCAACCAAGACGTGAAATATGTATATGGTGAAAATTACAAAACTTTGATGAAAGAAACTGAAGAAGACACAAATGAAAAGACATTCCATGTTCATGGATCAGAAGAATTAATTGTTAAAATGTCCATACTACCCAAAGTCATTTATGTATTCAATGCAAGTCCTATCAAAATTCTAATGACATTTTCCACAGATACAGAAAAAAAATTCCTAAAATCTGTATGGAACGACAACAACCACAACAACAAACCCTCCAACAGCCAAAGCAATTTGGAAACCAACCAACAAACAAACAAAACTGGAGGCATCACACTCCCTGATTCCAAACTATAATGAAATCTATAGTCATCAAAGCAGTAAGTTACTGGCATAAGAATACAAACAGACCAATGGAACAGAACAGAGAGACCAGAAATAAATTCTTTCATATATGGTCAACTAATCTTTAACAAGGGAACCAAGAATATGCAATAGGGAAAGGATAGTATTTTCAATAAATTGCATTGGGAAAACTAGAAACCACAAAGCGAAGAATGAAATTGGATCCCTATCTCGCACCACTCACAAAAATTAACTTGAAATAGCTTAAAGATATATTAAATATAAGACCTGGAACTATAAAACTCCTAGAAGAAATAATAGGGAAAAGCTCCCTGATGTTGGTTTTAGCAAAGATTTTTTGGATAGGACAACAAAAGCAGAAGCAACAAAAGTAAAAATCAACAAATAGGACTACATTAAACTTAAAAGCTTCTGCACACCAAAAGAAACAAGCAACAAAATGAAAAGGCAAACCATTTATTTGATAAGATGTTAATATTCAAAATTTATAAAGAATACATGCAACTCAACAACAAAAAAGTAATTGGATTAAAAAATGACTATAGGAACTGAATAGACATTTCCCCCAAAAAGACATCCAAATGGCCAACAGACACATGAAAAGATGCTCAACATCATTAACCACCAGAAAAACACAAATCAAAACCATAATGAGATATTACTTCATATTTGCTAGAATGGCTATTATCAAAGAGACAAAAAAATAACAAGTGTTAGTGAGGCTGTGGAGAAAAAGGAACTCTTCTGCATTGTTGATGGGAACATAAATTATTTAAGCCACTATGGGAAACAGTATAGTTTCTCAAAAAATGAATAGAATTACCATAGGATCCAGTAATCCCACTTCTGAGTATTTATCCAAAGGAAATGAAAACAGGGTATCAAAAAGATAACTGCACTCTCGTATTT